TTTGCACCTCAATTCCCAACTTTCAGGATGCTGGCACCTTTGTAAATTTGAATTCCATTTTCTCCACATGCCTCAGTCCTCACTAGCAACTCTTTCTCCAGCAGGTGGAATGCAATTACAACGAGAATTTTAAGATTAAAAAACCCCACCATGCTCTACAACTCTACAAAGAAACAGACAGGGACAAAATTGATAGTACTCCAATCTCATTTGAATTCCATTTTCTCCACATGCCTCAGTCCTCACTAGCAACTCTTTCTCCAGCAGGTGGAATGCAATTACAATGAGAATTTTAAGATTAAAAAACTCTACAACTCTACAAAGAAACAGGGACAAAATTGATATTACTCCAATCTCACTGCTCTATTGTCTCTTACCTTTATTTAGAGCTATATAAAGGTTTTATAGATTAAAAGTCTACATAGCATCAATGACATCTCTTGGCAAAACATGACTTGAAAAAAGTGGAATTAATATCCTTTGTTAGGATATTAAATGAGAAACTAACAAAATACATTGGCAAAACAAAATCTTTGTTATTAAAAAATCCTGTGGGAAGTCACACAGATAAAATAGCAAAAAAGAAAACATCAGGACCTATCAGCTAAGCAAACTTCTCTGAGAGTTTCTGACTAGTACAACACTTGTCTGCTTTTAAAACTTTTAGTATGTCACAGATAATTTAGTTCCTTCAAGTGCAGACAAAAAAATAGCAGGGGACAGAATTACAATTTTCCTCACTACAGGAAAAGCATTTGCAGAAGCACAAGGCATTAGACTGGAGAATGGGGGAGAAAGGCAGTTATAAATTCAACATTCAATAACCACTGAGAAATGATTCAATAGGTGTTGGTGTCTTACAGTCCTGACACTGATCTGCTACTTACAGACTTCCTGGGTTTTAATGTTTAGATACTTTTGACCTTCTTTCTTAGCATTAAAACTACATGACACACATTTTATAGGAGGAGACAATGACCCAGATGTTTTGACTTGCCAGCTGTAACAATGCAAACGAGGGGCAGATCCAACATTTTGAACACTCCACTCTAAGACTTCCAACTCCCACCTGCAAACTTTGTCTCCTACTAGAACACACCTGCAGCTTACTCCTTTGTGCTGTTCTGCATGCAAGTTTTACCATTCATTCATTCATGCAAAGGTTCATGCTGGAGAAATGCACCACTACAATTGTGTCCTCTAGACTGAAGCACAGACTGCAATCCCAGGGTTTGTTGTGCATGACTCACAATCAAAAAATGGCCTAAGCTCTCACAAAGCTGTTTAGATAAAGAAGAAAGACACAAAACAGATCCCAGGGCCAAATGATGACTCAGGGATCATCTTGTGGTACTTAGTTATTCGGAATTACAGGACCAGCGGATTTGGCCCCAAAGGCTGTTTCAAGTTCCTGAGGATATTGGATGGTGGCAGATAAACCAAACACTCTGCATCCTGTTTTATTTATCTGAGGTCTATCTTGCCAGTCTGGAAGGTCTTCTAGAGTTTCACAGACTTCTGCATTTTCTTTTAGATACTACCCTGTGTAAGCATCATTTAACTAGCACAGCAGGGGAAGGTGCAGTCCTTTTCAGAAAAGAAACAGCAGAGGACAATATAGGGCATCTCTCCACAGGCAACAGAGGCTTCTAGGTCATGCACACTCACTGTAAATGTATGTGGCATGGCAGTAGATAAGAGAAAAAATGTGGCTGCCTTCCCAGTGCCCTTATGAACTAACAGATGGCATTGCAATTCACAGTTTCATACTCTACTTTTCCTAACATGGATGTTAGGGGGGTGAGGGGGGAGAATGAGCTTCCCAAATGAATCTGAAGAGATGTGAGGGATGACACTCTGAATGCCAGTCACGTGCACAAAGGGTACAACCAGTCATTGCAATGAAAACCCAACTGCAAATTCCTCAAAGCTATCCCAGCATTTCTTAATGTTCCACACATACAGGTCTGCATTTTACTGTGATTCTCTGGTCGTGATTCTTTAGTAACCATCTTGCTCAAATTACTCTGCAGAGCAACATCTTCCCTCAGCACTGCCAGGCACTGCTCACTGGCTGCTCAAATCAGGCACCACCAGGAGCTGCAACATTCAGGAGATTCAGTTTGCTCCTCTGATTTTGGCAAGCTGGAATTTGCCACATAATTCCACATCTGCTGCAAGACTCCCAGCTCGTTTTCAGGCCAGTGATGTTAAAGAAATGGGGGTTCTCACAGATTGTGGCACCAGGGGTTACATAAATATGTTAAATTTGAGGAAATATGGGAGAGGCACTTGCTACAGAAGGCACACTAATGTTACATTAAAAATCCAACTATTTCCTATATGCTAAGAAGTTACTCATTTTTTCTGTGAAAGACCAGAGGAAATTTGCTGGATTACTCTGGGAAATATAAATACAGAGAAAACTAGATATCAATCCCAGAAACCATTCCCCATTTTGCATCTTTACCCTTAAACATCTGCCTAATCTAGAAGCCAGCCTGGGCTGATGGCCAGTGCTCTTTCATTACAGGATGAGCAATCTCATCAACAGCTGGGTAACCAACTGTAGCAAGTGCAGGACTAAGAAAGTGACAGAGCCTGTTAGAGTAAGATTTGTTGAATGAAATGATACACTGCTGATGATTCTTAATTTAAAACATTGATACTGACTTAGGTTTGATTGTCAGAATGTGCTGGAAATGTCCAGTCTAATTTTATCACTTACTTCCTCAGCAGAATCCCTGATTCTTTGTTTTCAACCAACACTGTGTGAGAGGCTTTGTTCCCTGCTTTACCTTAATTTTCAAAACTTAACTGAGTTTGGCACTTGCATGATGACTGAAGCTGACAAGTCAATTGCTGCCATAATTTCTTATTTTCTCAAGGAGCAAGAGCTACAGAATGTATCTGTAGCCCATGATGTAGTTCTCTACATTGCCTCTTTGCTAACTTTCCCATAGAAAAGACATTCAAAAAGCAGAGTCTAAACACAGAGTTTTGAGCTGCATTGCCTCTTTGCTAACTTTCCCATAGAAAAGACATTCAAAAGCAGAGCCTAAACACAGAGCTTTGAGCTCAGAGCTGCAGTAAGCATAAATAGCATTCCCTACAGGACAGTGTTTTACCCCACTGTCTTGGGGACATCTCTGCATTTTGGTACAGAGACATTCAAGCTGGGTTAATATATGGCACCAGAGATGTCAAGAGTATGGAGCAGACACACAGTTGCACAGTTTTGAGCTGAGAGCTGCAGTAAGCATAAATAGCATTCCCTACAGGACAGTTTTACCCCACTGTCTTTGGGACATCTCTGCATTTTGGTACAGTGATACTCAAGCTAGGTTAATATAAGGCACCAGTCAAGAGTATGGAGCAGACACAGCTGCATCAGCTCTGATACTTGAAGCCTTAACTAGTAACCTAAAAATGTACTTTTTGCTTCCAGTCTACAGACAAAGATTAATTATAAATCTTTCTTTGCAGCCTACAAGGCAAGGTAAACTATCAAGCATGCAGAGCAGCTAAGCTCTGTATCTGGCTGAAGGTAAAAATGTAAGCTCTGCCTTGAACTCCTGCTGTCAGGCTACAGACATGGAGTTTCTGATCACAAGCCTTTACTGATATTCTCAGAACTTCACTAAACAGCTCACTTCTCAGAACACAGAGACACAGGCAGTGCTTGTAGAAATATGAAATACTTGAACCTGCAAGACAAGAGGCTTCCAGAAAGCCCTGCTATTTAGGAACTGCATCTGGAGTGAAAACCCTTCATGTTTAAGACAAAGGAAGGGAAAGTCCTCGAGTCCCTTGCTAAGGAGCTCTCTCCACAGCTGCAAGAAGCAGTTGGAGCCACAGCATAAGGTCTCCAACCTCTGTGACAGAATTGCAGGGCAAACAGTAAGTCCAAGCCACAACAGCCTCCTTGGTCAATGCAAGGAAGATGAAAAGGCTAACTAGAAGGCAGAGCTCCCAGCCCCACTCACCATCCCCCTGGCCCAAACCTTCCAGGCAGGCTGCCAAGTCTTTAAGCCCCACTGCCAGGAAGCTGGGAACTCAAATGAAAAAGAAATTGGACAGTTTTTCCATAAAGCATCTTGCTAAAACTAGGACACCTCTGCCATTCTGCAGAGAATGCTGAATCAGCACAGAACATCCTTGCATGGGAAATTGCTCCCCAGACCACTGGCACACTTAGTAAATCCTAGACAGTTAGCTGAGGAGACTTGGAGATTTCCCTCAATACTACATTGAAAAAGTAAAATCAAGAAATTAAAACCTCTTGAGATTAGAACTGCTCTGAAGAATGAGTTCATACTGTCTCTGCTCCCAAATTACTGTTTCTTTAAGCACCACAGCTAAACTCATTATATATTCTTACCAGCAATATGCTATTAATATCAGATGTGACCAGATACACATTGTCTAGTTCAGGACAAGGCTTTTTTTCCATTTAAAAATATTAATTCCTCTGTAACGCAGAAAGTTCTAGGAGTTCTAAAGCACTCTTTAATTGTCATGAAAAAGGCAATATAACTAATGAGAAACAGCAAAAATGGAAACAAGATTAAGATATTGCAATTCAATTTCCTAGAAAATAATGTGCCACCAGCTGTGTAAGCTTTCCTGTCGCTAAAACAAATATTCTGAAAACAAGCAGGCAGATGCTTTACACTGTAGCCTGTCTCCTCAGCAGTCAGGCCTCCAAAAGAACTCTCAAGTTGTCTCTTAGATTGTACAAGGGCTTTAGAGACAGCCATAGAACACACTGATTTGATAAGCAGGACTCTGAGCTATCTTTAATTTTTATGTTTAACTCATTAACTGTGAGCTCCTGCAGACACATGCAGTACTGCCACCACACACACTCTGTGGTCCCTGAACACAACAAATAACAGCACAATGTGCACCCTTGCTCTAGCACACCAGACAAGACACATGCTGACTCCAGCAGCTGGACTCTTGGGTTTTCTCTCCCAAGCAGAGAGGCAAGGGCCTACCTGCTGATTCCAGTGACAGGCACTGTGCATTCTGTAGAGTTTCCTCTTCTGGAAACTATGAAGTGGCCTTGTTCGGGCAGATGTGCTCACATTAGTCACAGAGACAGATCTGAGCCTTGTCCTGTCTCTTCTTCTTTTCTTGATGTGCTGATGGTCAAGCAGCCAGCTGCTTGAAGAGGACACCTCTCTATTGTCTGAAGCTCTGCAGTTTCATGAATAATGAGGAGAGGAAATACAAAACATCAGATATGCTCCACATGCACAGGCCAAGATTTCACACACAGATTAGCAGTAGCTATCTAATTCTAAGAGAACTTCATAAACACCACAAGGTTTTAGCATGCTGTTTCACACAATTGTGTATGTGCTCAGTTTGCTAGTTAATTACTTTCATGTCAGGTCAGGAAAGGGAGCTTATCATTCTTCTTCACCTTTGTGCTCATGGAAACAAATGTCAAAATGAAGCTAAGCCCTCAAGCATATATTGAGTTTTGTTTTTTACAAATGCAAGAACTCTCTAATATTTTTAACACATATGAGTTTCAAGTTACAATTAATATTTCCCTTCATACTGATGTTCCATTCAAGACAGCAGTCATGCTAACATAAAGGAGACCCAGAGTTCTGTCCTAATACTTTAAAGACGTTCTGGTTTTGCTCAAGAACTGAAACCTAGGTAAAGCTTTGCAAAGAACTGATCATTCAGCACAGGGTTGCAACTCACTCTGAAGCAGTTGTATCAAAATTAGGAACTCTCCAACTTCAAGTGCAGAGAGTCAAAATCAAGTGCAAAGATGTGGCCAAAAGCAGTAGAAGCCCCTGCATGTATGTGTAGCACAACCTCACACCATTCTCACCAACCTAGAGCCTGTCTGGTGACCAGAATAGGCAACACCACCAGGTAAGAATTTAAAACACTCTCCCATTGGGGTGGGAATGACTCAATGGGAAGACTGAACTTCCCTGCTATAGGTATTCCTGATTTTATTTATATTTGATTTATATCAACATCTGCCTGCAAAGTTAAAGGCTTGCTGCAAAAAGCCCTCCAGTGTGCTTTTATTTTTACAATACTGAAGACCTTGATGACAGCTCTGGACTGTCTGAACAGTGCAACTACACAAGGTATTTTGGCCTTGGTTCATAACAGGTCATCTATCTGCACAAATGATTATTTCGTCTTATGACAAGTCACAGTTTTATTAGTAAAGTTATGACACAATAGAACATGAAAATGAATTTATTACAAGGACACTTATAAATCTTTTTTGACAGGTGATATTCTTTCACCAGTACATTTTTATTACATGAAAAGGCTTGTAATGGAAGTGTGATTAAACACCATCCCATGCTGTGTTGGAGTGGTAACAAGGCTTTACAGGCTTGAATTTGAGCTGTTTTCCTGACACAGCAATATAATCCAATAAGCAACACAGACACACGAAAACAACATGCTAATTAACAGAGGGATTGTACAAAGCATTTAGAGGAACATACCAGGAAGTGCCAAGAAAAAGCCCAAAATACTAAGGCATGACATTCTTAATGTTAACACTGCATTTTTAAGGCTTGAGAAAGAAATACAAGGTTTACAGTCCATGGAAAAGATTTCTTAAAATACTCTCTCTGGATTCTCAAAAACATTTTCTAAGTCAGATGGTCCCAAGCTCAACTTGTGGATTTCCACATACCTCTCCCTTAAATGAGAGACAGCTTAGACAGATAAATTAGAACAAAAAGCTCCTCAGCCTGGCTCTTTAACTTCTGTGATTTCTGCCTTTGTTCTGGTGCTCTGCCAAGGCCCTTGGTAGTTTCTCTGCAGTCTCTGACATCTGCTGTATTTACCCTCCTGTGCCTTGCAGCATTGCACCACTCCAGTTTCAGATGAAGAGATCTCATCTTCGTGGCCTGGAGCTCTTGGCAGTGGGGTTTTCCTGCCACTTGTGTAAAAGGTTTCCCAATGAAGCTCTCAGCTACCCATCTGGTTTGATCTTAGTCTGAGTATTTTTCAAAATGTGATTCTACAGAAGAGCAAAATGAACCACGGCCAGATGTGAAAGTCATAAATTTGCTAGAAAGCTCCTTTCAAAGTTCATAGGTTTGCCTTTTTTGCTCCTAACCTTACTTCAAGATGCAAGCCTGCACAGCAAGCCATCAGACAGGCACTATTTTTCCTAAAGAATTAAATTTTTCCTTCCTCTCCCTTCATAAGAAAGTGGGTATCACTAGCTTAGGGAACTGCTTCTGGGAGCATCTACTTTCATGCAATGCTTTGGGCTAATCTTGGCACCTAGATTCAACTGAGCAAGGAAAAGCAACGCAAAAAAAACAAAAAGAAAAAGAAGGCACTAATGTAATTAGGCCTTGACAGATGGCAATTCAAGGTTACCCACATTCAGTCAAGCAGGAACTGTCCAAGCACCTCCACTTCCACTGCAAACAGCCCGTGTAACCAACTGTAGTGCAACCCCACAATTACCAACCCCAGAGCTTCTCGTGTTTTAACCTACTTTAAAATGGAAAATTGTGGTTTTCACATCAACAGCCTACAACTAATTTCAAGAACTTACTTAAGTGAAAATTGCTATCATCTGTTTTTCCTCCCTCTCAAAAATAAAATAATCCCCTTATTTTCCATTTGATTTTGATTTCTGCTTTCTGAAATACTGAATACAGTCAAAATGAACTCTAGAAAAAGCAAGGAGAGAAGCAGCTAAGAATTAAGTTAACTGTAGCAAGTTAATAATTAAGTTAATTCAATTAATTGAACACACAGCTACTACAACAAAATACTACCAAAAACCTGAAACACACTCAAGAAACCTCAAGAAGTAGGAGGCAGTAAATTTCCCTGCAGGATTCTCATGATAACCACTCTATTTCATGCATCTTTAATGAACAGTATTTACTGGCAGATTTTAAAACACTTCATAAGCAGAAAAAATTTAAATGAACTGTTTAACTCATGTTTAAGACAGCATGTAGAAAGCCCTAAAATATCTCAGAGTCCCTTCCAACACCTAAATCGCCAAACTCCAGTTTAGAGCTATGGCACTGAGACAATCTTCCAAGTCCTAACATTTGTCTTTGGACTTTTTTAGGGCATGAGTAGAAAACAACCAAGCTTAGAAAGTGGTCCATAAGCAAACAATGTGCTACTCATAAAATGGAAAGACTAACTTTGGACTAATAAATAAGAAGAGAATTGGCCTGAAGTTACATCATTAGTCTCTCATCATGAAGTTAACTTCATACACTCCTAAAAACATTTTTAAAATCAAGAATTCTTCCTCATATGTCTCATGAAAAAGTCAGATTCAAGACAGGCTAAATTACTCTCTTCTTCCACACACCCATCTCTACTAGCAACTTCTATTTCAGGGCTATTTTTAGTCCACAACTGAGAGGAACCTTTTGATCTTCTCCTACATCATCTATAAACAACTGATACACCAGGAGCAGGGATGTCACAAGCCAGGACCCCTTCATCCCTAAATTTAGGGCAGAATCACACAATCACTGTGGAACAGAAGGCAGCTAAAGAAGCTGCCCATCCAAGCTGCTCACTGTAATCTCTTTGTGGGAGGCTCCAGCCTCTGCAGCAAAGCTGCAACAGACGGTGTGGCCAGCTCTTCTTGGAGTCAGGAGCCAGGGAATTATGTTCTGCAGCACACTCTGCCACAAACACCCCAGTTCTAGTTGGAAACAGTTTCTTCATCCACCTGATCCTAATTAAGACTTGTGAATAACAGCATCCTCAAAAATCACATTACAAGTATCTCAGGAGAAATATCCAACACATCTAGACCTTTTGTAATTGTATTCAATTACCTTAATGTTGCTTTGAAACTAATACGTATTACAGCCTGTACTGTACTTAAAATCTTTGAATAAAAGAGAGAATTACCTAGCAGTATGGACTAGCACTGAGAAACATTTTTCTAAAATATTAATTTCGACCTACAGTCATTCTGGAAGGTATGTCCATCCAGAACAAAATACTTTGAATGGAGAATAGCATCTCCAAATTCCTGAAAATGTGGGTGGCAAAGATAAATTTGGCCTTTTATTGAAGACTGATCTGCTTAAAATTAATGAAGTTACCACCCTGACACTGACCCCTGCTGAGACACGTGACATTGCTTATGTTCTACTAATCTACTAAGTTTGTCAGTTTTCCAGAAAAAAAGCTGCACTTGTTATGACAGAATGCATCGAGTTTCAAACAATCACAATAAATGTGATCATATATTCTTTCACTACTTCACAGATTCATCTTCCAAGTACTTAAAGAGTTATAGTGACTGTACATTTATATCTTTAAGAACAACACAAAACCCTACTGTTTTCAACTTTACAATCAAGACTTGACTTCTCTTGAAGCCTGCAGAAAGCAACTCCTTTTTCCTTATTTAATATTGTAATGATTATTAGTTCCATATAGATAACTTTACCAAAGTTATCCCACCTGAAGGAGATACCATTGACCAGCTGTCTGTGTCTACAGGTCTTGGATGAAAGAGATGAAGAAGCTGGAGACAGATTGAGTGGAGCAATTAGGCTGCTGATGATTTCACTTAGTTGTGCACTCTGGAAAAAAAATTAAAATTAAAGGTAGTCAGACTTATCCAGACTAAACAACTAAAAGGTGCTGGGTTCTTGTTTTCCTACTTAGGATTTCAGTCGAGTACATGATGGAATAATCATATTTAGTTTCTTCTTGTGAATAACTGTGAAAAATTGTGGTTTTCTTTCACAATTATTACGTTCAACCCTACCAAAACCCAAATAAAACACCAACAAAAGACCAACACAACCCTGAGCATTGTTTATACACTTGAAGTAGTACCCTGAATACATCAGTGGCCTTAGTATTGTAACCAGAGGTCTTTAAAAGGAAAAAAAAAGAAACCAGAACACTTTGCAGCTGATATTACAACAGCTGCAGCCAGAGCTGCTAACTGGCCATTTGACAAGCATTTCAACAGGGGGAAAAAAAGGTCAACTGTCATTTCATTGTACATTTTGTTCACTCAAAGTATTTTTGTTCTTAAAAGAATCCTCTTCATTGCTTATTACAGTTTGACAAAGGTATTTTTATAAAAGGAAGTGTAACTACTGGAGGACTATTGTAACGACAGACAGAATGGGTAAGATCTTTGGTATCCTCAAAAATAGCAACAAGAGACAACCACCCTGCCACCCAGTTCTCCTGAAAAAAAACTTGACTTTCAAAACTGACCCAAAACAAATGTAACAAATGTAGCCAATTTGTTACGACTAAGAATTACTCCTTCCAAAGCAATGAATTGTGGACTGACTCCAAAAACATTTCACAATGATTTTTTTGTTTTAAATGTCAGACCTTAAAGGCTATTCTCACAATAAATGTAACTTGCTTAGAGGAAACTGTTCTGCACACTGAACACAAATTTAATGTATCTGAAATGGCATACTCATTTTTTAAAAAAACCCCAACCTTTTGCATTACTTTGTTGGATTTTCATTCAGAATTAAGAATGTTTAAAACATGAATTGATAGAGTTTATCTAGTAAGTTCTCCTTACATTTTGATTTTACATTTACATTTATGCAGAAAAAGGAAGTTTTGTTGTTGTTGTTGTTTTATTACAACTCACATATTTTCTGTTAACATTTAGGTATGTAGTCAGGTAAAAATTTTGCATCAGAATAAAAAATTCAGGGATGGATATTAAAGCACAGGAATAGAAAGTCAATTATAAAAGAACGGGGCAAAGCAAATAGGATGCCAATAAAATAGTTACCAGTTTGATTTAAAAATCTCAGCAGAATTCATTATGTAAGGAGTAGTATATACTGAATATAAGAGCATTTAAAAACAGGCAGATTTCCAAAACAAAAGGAAAAACATACATGTAGCCAAGAAAAGGACTTGAAAACAGTACCAATAAAAATTGCCATCCTCAGTTACTTTTGTTCTACATTACTTTTCTTTTGCTTCACAAGCAGAATTCCTTATTTTTAACAATGGAATACTTTAACACCAGACTGAGGAATGCTGTGGGAATATCTGTAGATGTTCTTCAGGCTGCAGCATTGTTGCTCCTGACACTGAACAAGAAACTCAGACTTTCAGAGTTAAGAACAGAACTGGTAGTCAAGAAGGAAATCAAACCCCGAGGCTTTTAGTGGTGTAAAAGGGAAGAAATCCAATGTGTTGTGTGAGATGTGTTAGTCTACTTCCATGGCATTTTCAGATCATCAAAGTTCCTGCACCCCTTGGACCAAGTTTGTGGCTACTTGGGGACCAGGAAACAGACCACTACCCCTTGAATCATCAAAAGTCTTACTGAAAAGTGAGTTTAATTCTCCAAGCCACCACTTAAAAGAGGTTCATCACATTCTAAAAATGCTCTTTGGGTTATCTTATGCAATTGCCAGCACTGAGCATATAAATTTCCTGTTTCATTGCTTCCTCACTCCTGCCTGTGGTGGATAAGATTTATCAACCAGAGGAAGCATTTTAATAACAGGAAAGTATGACTATCAAATAAGAAAAATTGGCACAGAGATTCAGAAATCTGGCAGGCACTAGTAGCTAATGCTATTACTAGTAGCACTAGTAATTAATGCTATTACTTATATCCCTTTTAAAAAATGTGTGTGACCTGGAGTTTATGTAGAGCAGCAGAGCAACAAATTAATGCCCCACAGTGGCTTTGTTTTACACAAACTGCATAAATTTATTCTGTAAAACAAATTTCCAGTATCTCCTTCAGCAATGTGATCCTACCACATCCTTTATGTACTTTCAGGCAAAAGAAAACCTTGCTGGATTCTACATAGTATTTCCTATCAACCATGAGAACAGCCATGAGCAAAACTCTGCTCACAATTACATCTCCACTGTACCCAGTAAGCACCTGGAATTCCTCAGCTCCAAACCAGAGTCCCACAATGTTTGAAAAGGCAGATGAACAATTGTATTCTGCTGAAGCCTTTTTTTTTTTTTAATTTCAAATATATCTCTGCTATCAGCTGCTCTCTTTCATCTCACATAAAGCTTTTCTTGAAACAACCTGTGGAAACTCTACACTGGCCTGACTATAAAGCAGGAGCAGGTTTGTGGATGGCTCTTAGAGGCTGTTATGTGTCCCTTGGAGGGAAACAATGTGGTAACACAGACATATCAGAAATAAAAGGTTAATTTGTAAACCTCCTGCACAGATTAGTTATTTCAGTCCTTCAATTAATCACCACCCAGTCCCAGGACTGCAAAATATCTTTCTTTTTGGGAGTCATCACCATGGAACCTCCCTATTTCTGAAGTCAATCATTTGGCTTCACTGATGATGTGTGGAAAGAAAAACTCCAAAACTTGTAAAAGTTGTGAAGTTGGTATGATTTATTTCAGTGCTGTTTCCCAAGGACATGCACACTCCTGAAAATTCCCAAGTTTACTTTATCCTCTAACTTGTTGCATATGCATAAAAGACTAATGCATATGGATTAAACTGCCTTATCAATTTTATGAGTCTGTGTAGTTTTTCAGTCATAGTTTTAGTTGTAATGTGGTGTTTGCAACCTAGATTCAGTTTTTTTGTTTGTTTCAGCCTCAAGGCTCTAGTTTGGATGTTTGCACTCTTTTTTAAGTAGTCTTGAATCTCTTTTGTTCTCTCTGTAGACCTTTTTGTGAGTACACAAGTTAAAAGACTAAACAAGCAGATTCTAGCTAAATCTAAAATTGATTTCTACTCCCAGATAAATTTCCAACCCCCTGTTTCAACTGGGTTTTGTTTTACTTTACCTGTTTTTCTATGTTTCGTAAAAGCAGAGTGGGACTGCTGGGTGACATTTCAAAGTCATGCTCCGGCAAAGAATCCTGGCTCTCAATGGCAGCTTGGGAATTCCCTGTGGCGTTTAATAAAGCTTCTTGCTCTGTCAATTGGATCTGCTTCTTCAAAATGTCTTTTGGAAATGGGAATTCTTCTAAGACCACCATCCCCTAGACAACAGCAATTGAACACAGTTGGTTGACAACAGATTAAGCCTCCTAAATAATTTTTAATGGGCAGTCAAACCTGGCACATTCCTTTTAAATCCTCCTGACGATTTTCGAGCACTTAGCCAGATTTTAAATACACTTCACAGCTAAAATATGGAAATAATAGGCATTTTAAAAAAACCAAACTGCATCAATTATGCTACTCCTTGTAACAGCAATCACTCCAGTGATATACCACTGCTTAAACATCTGTGCCAAAATTCAAATCAGAAATTCATACCTATTAGAATATGATATGATAATTTGCCTGCTGATTTAAGAGGAGGTTTTTCTCTAAAAAATTATCACCCTTTGATTTGAACTTGGTTTTAGTCTTTGCAGTCAATAAACTCTGCTGGAAACATTTTTGAGTGCTCAATTTCTCTTATTCCTATCCCTGTTCTATGCAAAACATCAAGGCTGTTCTTTTTATGTAGCAGAAATTATACAATTCTAAACAAAAGCTTTTTAAAATTTAATAATTGATTTTTTTTAAGGTGAGCATTTTTAGTGTTTCATAATGAAAAGTAACTATCCTAAATATTCTAGCACTGTCACTACTTTTCAAGACCATTTGCACAAATGTGCTCTCAGATGTGGTGAACCATCTAAAGCACCACCTAATAAGATAAATATAACTTTATATGGTAGGGAAACAACAGAGTTTCATAAATGGAACTAGATAAATAATACCCCTATTGTGTTTTCCACATGACAGATTAGAAAAATGGAAGTCTCTAGTATAATCCTAGGTAATGTATCAGTTGGTTTAAAAACATAAAATATTAAACAAAATAAGAGTAAAAATAACCTTGTGACAGTCCAACCCAGTCCTCAAATAGTTCCTTAGTTTGTTATTATCTTGAGCAAATAAATGTAATACCAGAAACAGCTATTAAACCTCTCCAGGCTTTTTTCAAAGAGAAAGAGAAAGAAATTTGCTTTTAAAGTACTAACTGTAACTGAAATATCAAGCAGATATTACATAAATGGGATCATTATAATTCTGCCTCAAATTTGTCCTTCTAATGAGAATATTCCACTCAATCAAAGCACAATGAAGACTGCTGTAATGTGAACACAAGGAAGCCATGCTGCTATTTCTTTAACCAAGACAGACTTCACCTAGGTTGTGGCTGTGGAAAACTCAGGATCCTGTAGTTTCAGCAAGACCTTTACTACTGCCTCAGCAGCAACTGGCCTTACAACATAAAAACAAGTCTCAAAGAGAGTTCAAAGAGGAGACTAGGAGAAAAAATGAAAATTGTCTTGCTCTCACTGTGCCTCATTTATTCCATTGTTTGAATTATAAATTCAAAGCTGAGAATAAAGATGTTCTCTAAAAATAAACAAAGGTGCTTGAAAACTTGGTTTAATGCCTAAAAAGGGCACAGAGATTCTGAATGTCCATCAAATCAGTGCTGGATTTTCCACACAGATCATCACCTGCACTTTTTCATTTACAGCAGATGGACACAAATCCAAACCAGCAGAATGCTATGGGCAGTGCATTCAAGGAAATTCAAGTACAGAACTAATTTTTGTGTGCCAGAACAAGAAGACAAACTACTTCAACAGCTTTAAACTTCTTTAGAACTTAGAATCCTTAGGTCTTTTTAGTAAAAGGATTGTAGGTCATGACCACAGAGAGTCTAAAACCAAAATTATGAGGTCAGAGGAATGGGAAGACACACATTAAATGTGGTGAAAAGAGAGACATACACACACACATGCTTCCAATGGAATTTTATTTTCTGAAGTTTTAGAAACTTGTTTACCAAGCATGGAAAGAGGAAAGCAGAGAAGGAAGAGGGAAATTGAGAGAGTGTAACAGGACAGATGGAATAGGCAGAGAAGAGCAAGAGTAAAGAGTTAGAAGACTAATTCAGGCTGTATTACAAGAAATGGGTTACAACAATTAGGTTTTGGTAATGATTGCCTTCCTCCCCAAATGGAATTGTTTTGTTTTGCAGATATAGATTTTTTTTTAATGAAAGGACTCCCAAAGATCCAGAGGTGCTACTTCTGTGTCTGTAGAGATGGAGAAGACACACTGTAGAAGGCCTGGAAACAGCCCACGAGTTACTCATGTCCCTTCCTACTGCATTGTGGTGCTCAAGGAGTGGCCCTTTGCTTGAAATTGTTGCTCCCTGGCTATGAATCACTTTTTTTTTCCAGTCAAAGATCATAAAAAACACTCTGGAACCATTAAACAGCATACAAATTCTAATGATATTGTGTAATTCCTTTGCAGCCACTAAATGAAAACAAAGAGCTCTTCTGTCAGCCCACATGTCCTTCTGTAGCTGCTGCACTGGTGTACTATAAACATGTACACACAAAAAAATCCCATCTGAAGAAAATAGGTGCCTGCTTCACTACGGGACAGAGTGCCAAACACTAAATACACAGCTGGTAAAACGGGCATGGAGTTTCAGAAAGGAATGTCACTAAAAATCTCCACCAGGAAGACGACTTGGCTCCAAACTAACATACCACCCAAAGAAAATGCATGACTAAAATGGTGTTTTTCCTCTTATTCCTCTGATATTTATTTCTTAGTCTTCTGTAGCTCATCTGACCTACAGCATCATAAAGGCTGACAGCTTTTGGGTGTAAGAGTGTGCATGTATCTGGTATTTAGGACAACACCAAACCATGGGCATTCTCACTCTTCACTAAAATATAAAATTTTCTTACACAGACTCTTAAACAAAGGCTCTTAATTTCTTTGCAAAGAAAAACCTGACTGGGGACAAGCTGGATATGAAAGGAAGGGCTCTGAGGGCAAAAAGGAGAAGCTGGAATAATTCTTTATTTGTTCAGAGGGAAAAATGCTCTCTGAGGTGATTTCCTCTCCTTTTAAAGTCTCATGTTCCACCACATAAACTCTGAAGCACCTTCTTGCTCCTCTCAGTTGTGCTTATCTGACCCCAACACACACCAGAGAACCTACATGAGGCTCACTGATGGAGAGTCAAAGAGCCCTGCTCAAAACCCCTCACTATCACACCACCTCACACAGGTTTGGCTTCTTCTATGTCAGAATGACCTGAGGAGCCCATTAAATTGATAGCTGGATTACTAATGGTTTAGGAATGTCACTTTCCCACTGACTAGGCAGCTCAATTTACAAAAACTAGTACATGAATTACACACATTGGAATTTTAGTAATTATTAACCCTTGACCTGTTCAAAGTGCCGTACAAACATTAACCATCTAATCCTCAGAATAAACATGCACTGCAAGTAACAAAAATCCCACCCTGAAAGCCCACAGCACAAAAAGAAAAAACTGACCATCCCACCTGAAAAGGCAATCTCACCTCTCCTGCAGAGGGAAAAACCAGTAATAAATACAGCACTTTCAGGGCTGGGCCCCTGAAAGCCACTAACAAAATCACTATACAGTTACAAAGATAAGAGTTCCCAAATCACAACCCTATACTGGTGCCATATTTTAGCTCCTGATGTCCTTCCCATTAAGCTCTGCAGGTGGTAGCCTGCACAAACACAAGAAGTCTAGGGCAAAAAAAAAAAAGAACAGCAACAAGGAACCAAACACATAAATATTACAAGAAACACTGTCAAAAGATGATTTGAAAAGCCCATTTTCGAGCTTACAGACAATACCTTGGTGGCACGTATTTGCCTGTGAAGGTCAGTTAGTTGTTGGATTTTGTATTCTAGTTCTGAAATCTGGGCTTGAAGCCATGTCCAACGGCTGCCAATTCTAGCTCTGTCTGCAAGCCACTTCCATTCAGAAGTATAGCTGCTGTGAAGACAAAATGCTGGTTAGTCCAAAAATAAAGATAACCACATTTGCACAAGAACATTTTTGACAGCTGCTCTGCCTCATGTTGCAAGCATCTCAGTTGCTTTCAGAAGATATCTGATTATACCCATCCAGTTCCACATCAGCTTATTTCTGTAGCAACAGAACTTGCCCAAACCAGTACAGTCCATGCTCACTGGCTATTCCCACACTAAGCTAGTTTTTTGTTCTGGATTATAAAACTCAGAGCTAGATAAACTATCAAACTATATCAGTTAAGGCTGATTACAGATGTGTAAAGAATTCCAGTAACTCCAGCAGCAAGAATCCAAACTCTTACACCATACTTCCTCCCACAAGCTTTCACAAATATTGTTTGCTAACAACTGGAATCTAATAAAACATCATGCAGCAATGTCCAGCTATATATCAGGTCACTGACCAAAACAAAAAACCAGCTAAGTAGTTTAAATTTCTTTTATTCATGCTTTTTTATAAATATCTGTGTCAGTTTAGTTTAGTCAGATCACTCTTACTATTGTTTAAAATAGATGCTTTTTGCAATATAAAAAAATATGCCTCCTGGTACTTGACATTGTGAACACCTTAATTTTATAATGCTAAATTCATCACTGGTATCAGCAAACATTACTCAACTTCCATATTAAACAAATGAATGAGGAAACCATACCATGCAACAAACAATCTTAATATTCAATAAGTTTAAGCAACACAGACAAGACAATGCAGTATTTTAGTATGTAACTTCCACTACTATCCTACAATTAACTGAGTTCATTTATTTACAGAAAGCAACTGGTGTTTTTTTCCCTATTGATGCTGTCAAGTTGTTTGCCACAGCTGACTTAAAAAACTGTAAAAACAAAAATCAAACTTGTAGAAAAGAAGTGCTTTTCCTCAAGTTACTGGGATAATGGCTGGATCTAGGTCCTTGATGTAACACTGTAACTTCTGCACATGCAGAATGCATCATCTCCTGTTCCCCAGGCAATGAAGAGCACTGAAGTATCACAAAAGAGACAAGAAACAGCAGATGCCAAATGAACTGGCATAGGAACACAATACAGGTGTAATTGTTTCATGCAGAATTTTGTGTCAAGTATCTCAACAACAAAGGAAGATAATAGAGCAGAAGATGCTAGACATGTTCTGGCATGAGTAGAGAATCATCAAATTTGAGAATCCTAACATTTTCAAGGCTAATATTATAAAACATAATATAACTCAAAATTTCAGAACCTTCAGTCTAGTTTAGCTATTATAAAGAGTAAGGACAGACACAGTCTCTGGTAGGTCACCTCTAAAATACATAATCTTCTCCCTTTTAACACACATTATCTACCCACGTAATTTATCACCAGTTTAAACTCTTGTACACAGAAAAAATGAACATATGAAATTATGGTGATTGCAACATCCTATTTAAATACAAACTACGAGGAAGAAATTTGGATTACTATCAAAAAAAACCCTCAAAGAACTCTGTAAATATATATGATAATAAATTACTTGCATTTTACATATTCTACTAGTAATTTTCTCCTAGGAAAAAAGGCATATGAAGTCATCTGGTGAAAATCTACTTTTCTGACCTCTTTTTGTTTCTCTTTATCTTCTCATTGTTACCAGCAAAGAGTAAAAAGTCCCAATTAGTTATGCTTTAACCAGGTCTTCCTGACAAGAACTTCTCTGGGAATGACAGCTTTTGCATGTTTGTGCTCCTGGAAGTCACAAAATACACTTTGTTGGGAAAGGGAAGCAATCTGAATTCCAAGTTTTTAATTAAATGTGTTCACACAAGCATAGTGGCTGGAATAGTTAAGACTTGTCTCAGGACCCTGGTCTGGCAAAAAGCTAGTCCTAAGAAAGAGCTGCTTAATGAGTCTATAAAAATCCCTTCGTTAATAATTTTAACCAAAAAAAGTTAAAGAGGAATAAAGAGGATAAGGGAGAAAAACCCAAGTGGATTATTGAGATGTTTATTTCTGCTCCTTTCTCAAAAGGCAACTGAGGAAATGAACAAAGAAATCCCACAAACCAGGACATTGTAAAAAGAAAGTCGAGTGAAGAGAAATAAATCACACCAACAGATTCACCTCCCAAACTAGATCCAACAGTCTCAGGAAAAAAGGTGAGCTACTCTCAGACTGAGGAGGAGAGGGAAGGAGTGAGAAGAAAAGTAAGGTGTCCTGTACACAGCTGGGAAACAAGAAGTACAATGGAAAGGGCCAGAACTGGCCTTATGGCACCAACACTGCATGAAATCAGTGTGGCATAAGGGAACCCACAGCCAATATCACACCACAGCTGACAGCACAAGGAATGCTGAATGTTGTAACCTGTGTATGTTACTGTCTTACACAGAAACAAGAATCCTCTGCAAAGTTACAGCACAAGATGTTTTTCAAAAATAGTTGCACTTCTTTTTCCACTTAGACACAGTATTTAATCTTGAATTAATTACATTCACTGGTAAACATATTAAGTACATTTTTGCTTCATTCCAAAACACTATGCAAGTATTTCTTAAGGCTTTAAATTTTATTAGATAATTTAAATAACAGCATTTAATTACACTGTGTAACAAAGTCCTGAGGCCCCACTCTAAGGAAAGGTTTCCACCAAACTAAGCACAAACATTTTATGCTCAGGCCAAAGGAAGCAATTTTAGTTTCCCTGTCTCTCCAGGCTGCGCCATGCCCAGTGCTTGCTCAAGGACATGGGCAGCTATACGGTGACATGGATTAGAGAGCTGCTCCTGGTTAATTTTAATTTTAGGGGCAGCAAGTTTAAGTTGAGATCTCTTCCCCAGTTTTGATACATTGCACACAGGGTAAGAGACAGAAGCATTGCTGAACTCTGCTCCCATTCCTGTCACTTCTATTTGTTTGATCTTGCATTATTTTTAACCATCTTTTCCTCTAAGCCTATTTCTCTACAAATCTTTTAGCAAAGCTTGTAACTCCTAAGGAAGATAGAATCACTATGAGCTATCCTCACACTCCTTTGTGTTCGCACACAAAGTAGTACAGTCACTCAAGTGACAAATGATAACCTATTTCTGCAACAAAAACCATCCAAACCAACCCTGAAACAACCCCCAAACCTGGGTAAATCTCTTCCTGCTCGACAGTAAAGCTTAACATTCACTCAGTAAAGGAAGTTGTTTCAAGGTGGTTTCAGAGAATGCATTAACTCTGCAAACCCAGAGAAGAAAAAAAAAAACACCAAAAAACCAAGCACAGTTACAAAAATAACCAGGCCTGTCACTGGAGGAGGAAGTCAGAAGCAGGTGCTAAAGTAGAAGCTCCTGCTCTTGTTTTCTGTTGGGAATGAGACAAGAAAAAAGATGTTTCTGTCTGTCCCACTTCCTGTGTGCTTTTGACTCTAAGATCGTACATCCTCAACAGGAATTCCAAAATCTTTCTTCTGCTAGTAACTCAGTATAAACCTTGCTACACTGGTAAAGTTCCTCACGTTCAGTACTGTAGTACAGTGGAATATTATTTTTGCATATAAACTAACTGCTCTTGCAAAGACTCTAAATCTGCAGGTGACCTCCTACATTCATCCAAGACCATTAGAGTTGGAAGAGAACACAGCAATACTGACTTTGTATCAATAAAACATCTCATTTAAGTTGCCCTAAGAAAACACGCTGGAATTGCATCAGGGCAACTTGTTTCAGTGAAAAATACCAGCCTGCATTTCTATTTTGGTTGGACTACAAGTCAATCCTGCACACTTAGATGGAAAGAAAAGAAATGCAGCAGAACAAACAAGGCACAACGAGCATAAGACAAATACAAACGAAGTATGATCAAAAATATAGCTGGGGCAAACATTCAGGCATCCCAAAGTATGGGAGAGAGTTCAGCTGGGGATCATCAGCAACAGCAGAGGCAGTGTAAGTATTTCATGCTGCTTGCTTCTGCTGAGACTGAAGAGGCAAGCAAAGAGCACTAAGTGCTATTACAGTTGGTGCTGCTGGAACTGAGGGAGGTTTCAGCCAAGACCTAAGGACACAATGCATAGATGAACCCCTTAGGAACTCTCACCTTCCCTCTAAGAGAAGCACTGAGAACAAACCTTGTTTTTACATAACCAAATCCACACTGCAGAACACAACAGGACTCTCAGAAGTCCTGTGCCTCCGTTGGGTTTTGGATGAGATTTATGTTTTCCCAATAGCTAAGACCAGCTTGTCCCAAAAAACAAATGCAAGCAACCTAGCTGAGAAAAAATGGAGCAGCTAACCAAGATAAAATGGCTGAGCTACACACACTGTTGGTTGGGGTTTGTGTGTGCGTTTGGGGTTTTTTTGGTTACAGGAGACAAGAAGAGGTGGAATTTAAACCTTAGAGGCATATTTTATTTTTATAAGCAAACAAAACAATAAGCCTGAAAACTGTTCATAAATAATGGAGAAACACAGTGGTGTTCAAAATGCACAAAACACACAGAACCCGGGATTGACAGTAAGTATCCAGGAAGGCTGGTTCAAGCAGCTATGAGGAGCACAGGAAAGAGTATTTTAGAGTGTGCAGCTCTGTGACCATGGCAAGCTTCTCCACAAGTCATCTCATATGCTGAAAATTAAAGCTTTCCACCTTTGTAACTCCCAGTGAGAAGAAGCACCATGCCCTGCCATGACATGTCTGCAGGGACAATGACAGGATGCTTCCTGCTAAACAGGAAAGGAACATGCTTGCAACAGACCCATATAAAAACTCAAAAAATCATGTCACAACCCATAACAGCTTTCAAAAAGGCTTTAAAGACACCAGCATTTTCAAGTAAAAATACTCTTAAATGCACACAAGCCAGAGGGCAAGGCACTCACATGATGTGGGTGGGGAAACAAACCTTCCAAAATTCTTCATTGAACATACAAAGGGCAGTTGTCCCTGACATCCCCTCATAATGTTTCTGCTCAGTCTCTCAGCGTGGGGTATTTTGCTCTTTGTGCTAGGTGGTGT